AAAACCTAGTGCTAACCATGACCATAGAATCGTCCTTCCTTATCATTCCATCGATATCTTGTGAATCCCATGAAACGAGAAGCGACACTTATATATGTACGCAATATACGTACGCAATGTACGCATTGTTTCGCCTATACGAAGGCTACGAAAGGCATTTCTGATATGAAAGAACAAATTGCAACTGATGCGCGCGTTGTTTCAAATTTCTCTCTGTCGAATTAATATTGATCGTTTGCAATACGGCTAATCCAAGAAATTTGCCAGACGAGTCGAATCGAACGAATGAGAATTTGCATCTGGTGCTCGACGACATGGTTCGCCGACTTAGTTCACAGTCGTAAATCGTAGATCGTAAATCGTAAATCGTGAATCGCACATGGTACAATGGTACATGGTACATTCGTAAATCGTGAATCGTGAAGCGTAAAATCGTAACACGTACGATTCGACTACGCATTTAGTGGACGCGCGCAATCGCGTTCCAACCTGTTAATTTACACGGTATAAAAATCTCCTTTTCCTTTCTCCTCGTACCCTCTTTTTTTTTTACTAGAATATGTACAAAGAAACTGTTATCGACAACTGTATTCGAATTCGCTAATATAGAGAATGTAGCACGCATCCTTCGTCTCTCCCAACGAAAGAATAGCTGAACGAATGTTACGCATTCCTCCTATTATCATAACATTCGCTATATGTATAATACCTCTTTTTTTTGTCGCCTCGTGCGCCGAACAAGAACAAAACGATCAAATCTATTTTTTTCTTTTTTTAGAATTACAACTTTCCGTTCGTTCGATCGTTCGTTTCGTTTCGTTTATTCGGCGTTTCGAGGTGTTTCTCCCGTGTAAGTAAAGCCTTCTGGAACAATGAAAGCACTCGTTAGGAAATTTCAATGAAAACTAATTGTAACGAGATCAGAGAGCTCGACGGTCGATGCGACGTTTCCGCGCTATTCGATATACACGTGCACGTGTTTTACCTTTCACTCGAACGCGCGATTTTCTACAGTAGTTGTCTAAGCTACCGTCTACAGTCTATCTCGTCTATTGTTTATCGTCTACCGTTCGCCGTACACCTTATCGGCTGTCGATCTGCCGATCAACGTTGCATTCTCTTTCTATTATATGTATATGCATCGATCGCATCCATTGATCGAGTTGTCTGACAACTCACAACTCTAACCGAACGAACTAAAACGATGAAATTACATATTTCGTTTCTGTTTTCAGTATAGATTCGTGAACAGTTCGTCGAAATCAAACAACTAGTGTGGTAATTAAAAAATAGTAGCAGTACTCGGTACACCTTCTCAGGTACGGATAGCTGTATACGGATATACAAGAATCAAGATATGTATTGTTGAAATTTCGAGGTAGGTGCAATCTGATATGGCGTAAATGTTTAACATGTGCAATTAATCGGTCCAAGGTCGCGCGAGATTCTACCAGTTTCGAAATGCGTTGCGTTCGAAATCGATGCGTTTCTAGAAAAGAAAAATGCGATTGTCCATTAGAGATTCGCTGACAGTATCGAAAGAAACCGTTTCTTTTTTCCGTTGCAGTCTTTTCTCTTCGTTCATCCGAACGTCGCATCGTTCGTGTTTGTGCTAACTCTCGTTTCAATTGTTCATCGAGAAGAAAATAATAATGATCCGGAACAAAAGATAGAACGGTTCTTCTAGACGAACGACCAAACAAATTGTTCTTAAAACGTCTGCAGAACCGACGCGGAACATAAGACACTGAAATGTAAGCCTACGTTGAATTCAATTGAAATTATTGCTTCGATCGATCGAATCGAACAACGATTCTGTCTCGATGAATCGTACTCTGGACAAATTCTTAAAACATAATCTAATCGTTCATGCTCTCTCGTTTGCAATTTCTCTTTCTCTCCCTTTCTCTCCCCCTCTCTCTTTCTTTCTCCCTCTCTCTCTCTTCCTCTCTCTCTCTCTCGCTCTTTCTTTCTGTCTTTCTTTCTCTCTCTTTCTCTCTGTGTTCTTCTTGGTATGTATGTACATATGTATAGCCAAAAAACTTACTAATTGAACGTAGAATTATTATAAAAGTGTTGAAACTTATAACGGTAATGAGGGTATAGAAATGACAAAAATAATATAATTTGATAGTGAGAGTGTCAATTATGGTGTCAGTTTTGACGATTTAACGGTAACGACAACGACGACGATAATCATTATGGTGATGATGGTGGCGATGACGATGATAACGACGATAATAATGACGGTGATGGTGATAATGGTGATTATGATGATGATGACGATTGATGATTAATGATTAATGAATGATGATTGACGATTGATGATCGGTGCTTGATGATGATGATGCGGCTGCTGATGATGCTGCTAATGATGCTGATGACGATGACGGCGATGACGATGACGACGATGATGATGGTGGCGGTGGAATAATAATGGTAATAATAATTACAGTAATTAGAACCAACTGCCTCCACTGAATTTCGTAGAAAGTCCACCGATGCCTTTCCCGAACATACTGCCAACTTTTCCGACAACGTTCGATGTAACGTTGCTGATGTTAGCCACATAATTTGCGTCTTCGCCAGCAACATTCTCGACGATCGTTACCTTTGTCTTCGGGCGCTCTTCGTCGTCGTTACCATTCTCCGAAAGCCCCCTTTGACAAGCGGAAAAGATAAATGTGTTGCATGAACAAATGCCTAATTATAAGTTATCCGACGCGATGCAGTGTCGACGTGACGCAGCGATACGTATCATCAATACATACAAGGCGCAACGCGCGCCGTTCATTGTCAGATATCGACAAACCGATATACTCACTCTTCGTTCTGAGCGCTCATGGATAAGGCACAATTCGCTTCTTCCGTTTGCATCCTCTTAGATGTAACCTGATATGGGTCTGAGTTCAGCTTCTCCTCCGTCACACCCTGCAGCTCAAAATCGGAATAAATCTTTTTTACGATATGAGCCAGACAGGTACACTGATACAAATGCAAGCTGCATTCGGGTCGTCCCATCAGCCAAGTGCACAGCATCTGAATTTGTGCGGCGTACCATTGCTGCGGAAATGAAACGAGACGGAAACGGTTTTTAGCGGCACGTTTTACGGACGACGGGGGGAGGGGGAGGAGATACAAAGAAAGAGGAAAAAGCGTGGTCGTGATCCTGTGTTACCTCGAAACACGTCAGAATCCATAAATCGTCCATAACTTTGCCACGAATCTGATCCATGCAATTTCGCGTAAAACTGACGTAGGCCTGTCCCATTTCTTTTCCGCTTCCCGATACCTTCTGAAAGCAAAGATTTCTCAAGCAAAAACTTCTTCGCGACCAAGCGACAAAGCGACAACCAATGGACAGCATGATCGCTTACCGTGAAACTAAGAATGGAACCTATAAAGGAGCCTTCGTCGTAACGGGATAACTTGGACAATGTTGTTTCCAGCACGGTGATCAGTTTATTGATCATCCCTTGGGTCATGGAAGCCGAGGTTTTCTCGATCAGGTCGTCGATTTTGGCGTGATAGTTGTGCTGGAAGCGTGACAATGCAAGAGACCGATATCTTGAAAAAGATACCGATAAATTCCAGATAACTTACCACATCTACACCGTCGATGGTACACAGATTCAAGTTTTGCTTTTTCGCGTCCAAAATAACGTTGATCATCGCGCACATTTCCGAGGGAATGATATAGTCCGTCGAGGTGAAGGTCACGCCTTTCTTCAGCCACTGCTGAAAAGCGGTGTCGGTCCGTTGAATACACGATTCGATCATGTCGCAAGCCATCAAGGTCAGCCTCTGTTCCAAATGCTGCCGGAATTCTTGATCCGGCCAGTGGAGATCGCGAATGAAAGATTGGAGAGCGTCCAGCTTCCAGAAGAGTTCCTCGGACGTGGCGCAACCGTTACCTTTGATTTCCCATCGTTCCTTCTCGAATCCTTTCTGAATCGACTGAGCGATCGACGTCTCCATCAAGTCAACGTAACGTACAACCAGCGGTGCAAAAGTGTCGCGCAGATGTTGATGAAACCTACCATTCTTTAAATTGTCTGCAAGCGAAAATCGGGATGCGAGGAGCGAGCCGAAGAAAGGAAGGAAGAGAGTGGATATGGAAATAGAAGTGGAGGTCGAAGTGGAAATGGGAATGGAGATCGAAATGGAAATGGAAATGGAAATGGAAATGGAAATGGGAATGGAAATGGAAATGGAAGTGAAAAGAATCGAAAGCAAAAGAGCATGATTAGAAAGTTCGGTTCGGTGAGATTCGCTCGGAAACTCGTTCCACCGTTTTCACTCACCGTCTTCCCTCAAGTAATCGTTCAAGATCTTAAACAGTGGGAAGCTGTCCCACGTGTCCGGCGGTTGTTCAACGAGCACCTTGTTCATGTCTTCGGCGAACAAGGACCAGAAGATTTCGGCGTGCTCCACCATGAGCTCGCTAAACCAGGCGAACGCCTGCGGTACAGTGTAGTAGGAGCGGATCGTGAAAATATTGGACGTCACACATGTACGGAGGGCACATTTCGTCTAACTCAGGGCGATGGGTACGTCACCCTGAGTAAAGAATCCTCGAAGAGCGACAAATTTCAAGTTTCAACGTAGCGGGCAACGGCACCGTCGCCTGCCACCAAAATCAAAAATCAAAATACAACTTCTTCGTATTGTTACTTGTATCGTTTGCGATCAGCCGAGAGAAAGAAAAACAAATTCGACCGTTTCCGTGCCTCTTTCGAGAATTCCAAGAAACAACGTTAGATTCTAGAAATCCAACTAATACCTCCGAGTAATGTTCCCCGTTTTGCTGAAGCAGATCCACGCACATTTCAGACAGGTGTATAAGATCTTCGAGCTTCTTGCTAGGTGGAACGCACACGTCGCTGCTCAAATCGTCCTCGATCTTCGCTTCGGCGGAGAGTTTCGTGTAATTAACGAGCGCCGCGGTCTCTAGGCAACCCTTGATCAAGTTCTTCACTTCTTCCGGTGCCACCGGAGTGACGCCGTCCTTCATCATGACACGTTCCAAAAGCGACAAAGTCGCCTTCAGTGCACCTTCCGGCCGGCCGAATGGAAAGCTGTACCTATTTCATGAAAAATCCCGATCGATCGAATCACGTCCGACTTCCAAAAATGACGACTGATTGTTCCTTGTTCTCTAAAAGTTGGCTCGCGAGAACCGAAAATCAAACGGTAAAGCAAACGTGTCGGATACCTGAAGTTGGTGATTTGGTTTTCAAGAATCTGTCGTAGCCGCTCTTTGATTTCTTGGAATTTCTCCTTCTCTTCGTAGGTGATCGATCCAACGCTGTCGGTCCTGTTCCCGTAGACATGCGTAGCGCAAAAGGCGAAGCTAAAGTGCACGAGGGTCGGATCTATCATGAGGCCCCGGTCGATTCTGTCCAGCAGATCGCTCAAGTAACACAAATGCCGAAAACATCCTCGCACGCCGTACCTACGGCAAATGACAAATGAAAACTGTTCGAGCCCGGTGTGCATGCGCGCGTGCGTATGCGTGTGCAGTATGCGTATATGTATGCAGGTGTGCAGGTGCCTGGCCGCGCGCAGGCACTGATGCCGATGCTTAGACTATGTCGTACCTAGCAAAATACTCGTCCAAAACGAACAATTGGCCAGGTGAGAACCAGCCTAGAGAACAATACGGATCATTCAATCGATAATCTAGAATCAAGTTCTGGAGAAATTTGAAAAGACCGTGATGATCGAATTTGCAAGGGTCCGCGCTAATGTAATCCTCCATCCCGTGCTTCTTCGCTCTGTCGTCGCCCTGTAGCTTGTTCGTGCCAGAATTTTTATCGACGACCGAAACTTGCGGGGTAGGCTTGTGCGACTGGCCGGTCGCTCTGTACATGACCATCACCCAGGTTTGACACTCGTTCTCGTCGTCCGACGCGAACACTATGGTATCGCCATCGCGCACGGCATTGAAATAAAATCTATCGGAGAAAGAACGTCGAGATTTTCATATCGGAACGATTCTGTCAGAGGATCCGTCCACGGATCTGTGACTACTTGCCTGCCACCGTCCAAGTTGGCGCCGAACATGATGTTGGCGGAAACCGGTGTGGTGTAATCGACTGTGTAACCGTCGAGCTGCATCATTTCCGAGGGCTCGCTCCTTTTCTCTTTGTACGAGCACATGGCGAACGTGTACTGAGAAACCTGGACGAGAACGTGGTAACGTTTCTTCCATTTTTTCCAGACGGATTTGCCTATCGCGTAGAGGTAGCCGCAGTGTTTCATGTTGAACGGTTTGTCCATTCGACAGCTGATCCTTATTCGAAGATCTTGGTCGGGGCAATTCTTCGGGACCGACATTCGATACCATTCCGGTTGTTTCGAAGCGAACGGTGTCGGCTTTATGATAACTTTTCCCAATTCTTTATCCTCGAGCGCCAGCATTGCCGAGTTCTCGGTGTACAGGCGAACCTTGACCACCGGTAACGGGTGCATGGTAGTGAAATCACCCTGCGTGTCCCACCTAAAAATCCGATTTCAGTTTCCATGGTCTCCGATCGGTTGGGTCGGGAGGAGGAGATCCCGTTCTACTCACATAGGTTTCGACGCCTCCGCGTGATCCGTTTGCAGTTTCTTGCTACCCTCGACTTCCATCGTGCAATAAACTATCTTATTAGGCGGCAAGCTCTTCAAGCCTCTAACTTCGATCACGACCACGGCCAATTGGAACGTCAGGCCGACGTCCATTTTCGTCAGCTGGAGTTCGGTATCGGCAGAGTCGCTTTCTAATTTCAGGGAACCTTGACCACGGCAGCGGGAGCGTTCGCGCCGATGATTGTAGCGCTTTAGTTTCTGTAGCCCGTATTTGCCGTCTATCGAACCCTTTGACACCGGTAACGACTCCAAATTGGCCATTAGCAGGTTGATGGATGATTTCAGCTCCTCGATATAGAGCGACTCCATCTCCTTCAGGAGCAACTTGGGCATAAGCTTGCGGTTCTGCGCAAGAAAAACATTTCGGTTTGTCGATCGGACGAACGAGACATCGCACAGAGAAGAGCGAACAGCCGCGAAAGCTCGTGGAAGAAATAAAAATCCAGTTAATAAGCAACTCGCGGTGGTACCTTTTCCATTTCGTTGACCTTTTGGAGGCGACCGTCCAGCTCCCGCCTAATGGCGGCCGCCTGTTCGTCGGCTGAATCCAAGAGAAGGGCACTGAACAGAAGCTGATGTTCAAATTTCTTGATACCAAGAATTTGTTGGAACATATCGTACAGCTGTTCCTTGGACAATATCATCTCCGAAATCAGAGACTGCTGTTGCATCCTGGAAGGCCTTTTCGTCTCCTCGTCACCCGTACCTTTCATGATACAATCGAACTTGGCCATCCAGGACGTAAGCACAGTCTCTTTGCTCAGACCATTCATTTCTGGAAGCCGCCGTACGCGTATTTCGATGTTTTTCTTGAATACTTCGCGAAAGTCGATCTGCGAACAAGCGCCGCTCTGCACCATCTGAATTACCCTGTCCGACGCTAAGAACACGTCGTGGTAATTCTGTATGGCGTAGCGAAACGCTTCGTCCGCCATAATTTGCGTCTCACCCTTCAAGAAACTCTGTAAGCCGTAACAAGAAATGTTTCAATTCCGAGCCGACGGACGAGCCCGTAGAGTTCGAGACTCGTTCGAAGCGACGCGCGATGCGGGCACATATCTCCTGCCGGTGTCTTTCGTCGAGTCGCAATCTCTCGCGCAACCAGGCGCAAATAGACAACCGCTCACCTGAAAGCGGGAGCATATCGTCTCGAGTTGTTGCTTGGTTACTTTTAATTGCCGCCTGGGCATGTCCAACGGTTGCTTGGCATTGAACGGATAAGAAATGCATCTTGACACGAACACGTACAGCTGAATTCTGGTCTTTCTTTCCTCTTCCTCGCGTTCTTGTTTATCCTGCGGAAGCATATCCCAGAAAGCAGTCAAACAGGAAATCGTGTCACCGCGTGTTCTCGGCGATGTATTCGATAGAAATTAGATCGATGAACAAGAATCGCCTACCTGCAAATTCGCCTCGGTTTTCTCGCTGGCGACCGAAGGCGAAGGACTGGTGGGTCTCTGAGAATAACTGGCCGCGTCTTGCGCGGCAGACATCGACGGCGACAACGAGTTCCTGCCAGCGGCGAGGCCCGAGGCGTCCCGGGCCGACGCAAGGTCCTGCCCGCCGCCACGGGGCGTCCCGATGGGCCCGTGACTGGACCCCCCGGGAGACGCGGTCCCCGAGGCCAGGGAACTCGCGCTTCCGCTCGCGGGACCACTCGCGCCCCCGAGGCTCCCGCCCGGCCCGATTTGTCGTCGAGAGCCGTACGAGCTGCCGCTTCCACCGCGCGCTCCACCGCCGCCACCGCTACTACCCCCACCCCCTGCTCCGACATCCTTGGAATCCTTCTTCTCGTCGTCGCTCTCTTCCGACGAGCTGGGATCTATCATCTCTGGGTTCTCCTAGGACCTCCCCCGAGGAGGCCTAGTTTGGTCACGAGTCCGTCGCCGTTCCCGATACTTGAAATGAAAATAAGAATAATCAAAAAATCGGTACACGATAAGTGAAATGCGAGTTCGTTGGATTTTCTATGTTTCACAGATTTCATACGTTTCACACGTTTCATACAAAAACCACTTCGACGGTTCGTAAGCGCGACTCGACACGGACACCCGTATATACAAACTTTTTACTTTCAAACCCAGATATGCAAATATTTCAGGTGCGACGCGTGACGTCGATAAGTTGTCGCGATCAGCCGCACGGAACAACCCGTTTCAATGACGACAGACCACGGCTGTCCTTTGCTCGCAGTTACGATGTTCTCACTTATATTCGGGACGAAAAAGTAGACGAGATCTTACGCTTTCGTAACAGCTGTAGTATGCGGTATAAAATGCTCAATATATGTTGTACCACTTCAAGCAGCGCTTCGTGCGTACAAGTGTATGTATACGTATGCTTTGGACGTGACGTGGACGAGTACTCGACGAAGCCACCGCATTCAATGTACCATCGACGTTCCTTCTTCTCTACGAATGATTGATCGATCCGGTAAATTGGCTCTAGACTTCCCGGTCGAGTAAATCGTCTGTCACGCGTATATCGAATTTAGCCTTGGAAATGATGTCCCGTCAAAAATCTAATAATTCGGAATTTTACGATTAATCTTGTCCTCCACTCTGATCGTGTTTTCTGCCTCTGTTTGCAATTTTAATACATCTTTTTGTAGATGTGCGTAAAATTAGCGTGAATCTTGGCCGAATCGGATCGAAATTAACCGAGTTGTACCGTTGTGCGCGTCAAGTTTCCATGTATACACCACGGAAAATCATCCCCGCATCGGTCATGAAACGACGTAAATGAGTAAATCGATCGTACAATAATGCACGCGCGTTACCATTGCGTCGCGTCGTGCCGTGTCGTGTCGTGTCGTCTCCTCTCGTCTCGTCTCGTCTCGCGTCGTGTCGTGTCGCGTCGTGCCGCTAGTATGCCACGATAAAGCTTCACAGGTGCAGGTACTTCTATGGACTCTGCGCGCGGAGGCGACGTCGATGCGAGAGGAAATTTTTAGAGCGTTCGTACGTCTCTTTGAACGCGAATGAATACAACACGCGAGCAGAAACGACCAAGAACGACTACGTGAACGAATATCGAGCGTTCTCACTCGCTCAAACACACCCGTATATATGTATTTCGGTCGAAACAGAAACTGTGCACGAATACGAATACATTTCCAAGCACATTTCGAAAGTCGAATTGAATTCGTCGTGTTTCCCCTTTACCGATTAGATTGGTCTTCTGGTTTTCCCGGAAGGCCGATAACAACTCCAACGGATGTTTAAAGAAACGAACGAACGAGCAGTTCGACAACGAATTACGACGACTTACGGCGACCAATATAACAAATCGATCCGTATGCTAATAGAATTTGACCGACAAACGAGTTGGAACCTTCAGACTACCCGGTTCGGGGACGAAATTTCACGCGTACGTTATTCGTTTTGAGCGTTTCTCGCAGTGGCATCCATTTTTACCGCAGCGCGAGCATTCCTACTAGCTCGAATTATACTTTATTCTTCATATTTTCGACCTCGGGTTAAACTTTTATTCGATAACTAGAAAACAAACACATTTCGATCAGTCATCGAGTTCCCATGATGCTGCTTCGCGACTTTATAAAATTTTGTAAATAGTCAATGTAAAGCGCACCAAAGCGGGAACTCGATGTTTTATATTTTCAAAATATTTTGTATCAGATTATTGCATCGAACATCTACTTGTTGGAGCAGATACTTTCTACCTTGCTCTCTCTTTCTCGCACTCTCTCTTTTTCTCTTTCTATAATTATATATATTATATATACATATATATAATTATATATATATATATATTTATATATATATATATGTCTGCCCCCTTCATTCCCTGCACCCTACCCGCCCTCTTGTCTCTGCGCCGCGTCCTTCTGCTCCTCTTGCCTCCTTTGCTCCACCTCTCTCCACCCCCTCACCCTGACCCTTTACATCACCCTTATAATCTTTCTCCTTCTTTGCTCCCCTCTCGACAGCTCTCACCCCTTCCTCAGTGACCCCACTCCCCCTCCCATGCCTCCTAGCCGTCGTTCTGCCCCGCACCTTTTCTCTCGTTCACTCTCAATCACTTTCTAGTTTGCTTTCTCGTTTTATTTCGTGCATGCGCGCACTATGTGTACAGCATTTACGATCGTTATTGCGAGTCAACCGAAACCAACCTTATTTTTCAAAGAACACGCGACCACGATGACTCTGAATATCGGCAGATCATCCTGCGTTCATGATATCCTGTCGAAATACGGTGGATGGATTGTCCGCCGAACGGGTTATCAGTGGCCCGCCTCGGGCTCGCCTGAAACGCGAGACAGGGAAACAAACCGCAACGAACAGAATCACACCAGCAGCAATCTTTTCTCACTGTGTGTCGCAGCTACAAAATTTTCTTCATTTTTGTCAAGTTCGAATTCGGTTTGATGAGAGTGGACGGATATACTCTCGACGACCACAGCAAACCGGCGAACCCGACCGTCTCCGCTCGTCAACTGACAAACCGTTCGAACGGCGCTAACGACGCCGGCGCCGTCGCCGTGGTCGACGCCGACGCCGACGCCGACGCTGACCAGAAACCGTTCGCAACGATGAGGGTAGGTTTCCGGATTTGAAGAAAAGAAAAGAAGGGCGGAGAGTCGTGTATGAAACAGAAAGGAAAACAGATCCGAGGGAATGAAACGTGGAGAGAAAAAGAACAGAGCGAAATATATGTACTCGGAACGATCGAACATCTGGATGATCGTTGTTCCAGTCGACCAAGACGTTGGGAAATCGGTTCGTGGTCTGGAAGGTAATCGCGACAACGACCGACTGTAACATGAAAATAGAAAGAAGAGCTTGTACACGGAAAGACGATGGATCGATAAAAAAAAATGAGAATTTAAAACATTACATGTATATCAAAGATTGGTAAAAGGGGAAAGAAAATGGAAAAAGAACGAACGAATGGAATTGTACGGAATATTTAGATATTTCGCGTTCCGTATAAATAAAAAGGGGAGAACGAAACCGCGAATAGCGTGGGTGTGTCGAAGGAGGGATAAGCAACGGCAGAGTCGAAGCAAGGATAGTTTCTAGACAGGGACGAGCGGTAGTGGGCCATCGATCGGTTGCGCACAGTCGTCGATGCTGGCCGAATCTCAGGACCGGCTGCAATGCAACCGCGTTTCCCGCTGCCGCCGCCGCTGGCGATCCGACTTTTAGCGCGTCAAGCCATGTCGCCTTCTAAATGTATATGTGTGTATGTATGTATTCTATTGCATCTCGTTGCGTCTCCTTGCGTCCTTTTACGTCCCATCGCGTTTTCGTACTCCCGCGTGTCCATTTCAGGATCAACGATCGCGTTCGCAATTGCACGTTATTTGCACTATTCTGGCACTAATCTTGTTCCTTTTAATATGGAAGCAAAAGTTAGTCGCATCGTTCTTTTACAGATTATTTTACGTTCAATCAAACCCATGATTCTACTTCTGATATTGCAAAAAATTTCTAGATCGCAAATTCTAGCCGCAAGCCGTAAGTCGCAAGCTGTAAACATACAATTGTCGCAGATTCGTATGAACTGAGAATGAGCAAAGGATATGGTGATTTTGAGAGAGAAACTTTAAAAAACACTGGTGACCCAGCACGAGATTACGTTATTCGCTTGCACACACGAAGTCCCGGTACAATTACCCGAAATTCTGGCAGCCTGCCAGCTATGAAAAAATAGGTTATCGATCGATCGCTCGTTCGGTCGCTTGCTCGCCCGCGCACTTACTTGTTCGTGCTAGTTTTCCGATACATAATTGTAATCTCGAGTTCGCTCTCAAGAAAAACTCCGACGACTGTTCCACCAGCGATCTTGTCGTGAAAGAGTTTAACTTTTTCAAATTCCGATCGTATCGTTTTCGATTTCCTCGAAATTGCTTGAAAATTCAGGAGACGAAACACAATCGGAAAGAAAGAAGAGGACCGCGAAAGCGCAAGCCATTTACTGTTTATCGTCTACCGTCCAAGGGATAATGGAAGCTGCCGCGTCTACGCACGCGTCCACCGAGTTTCTTCTTAACAATATTCTCGACTTCTTCGCACGTACACTGCTCGATCGAAGAGTCCTATGCATTCTCGATTATACTATTGTAATAATCACAAAAATTCTAAAATTACTCGGACCTACGGTCGACAATTTAAATATCGTCTAAACTAGTTTACGCAAGCGCATTTAATATACAGAGTTCTGAGACTATGTTCAGTTACTTCTGGACGTGCATCTACTTCCGAGGACATGCGTAATGGAGACGTGGAAATCTATCTTAAACAACTCTCGACAACCAATTCTCTCTAACTGTGATACATTAAATTAAATATTATTATTATTGTTAGTACACTAATATATTATTATCAAAGAGGAAATTTCTTCTTCGTTATTACATATTACCAGTTAGTACTATAGTTTATTATTACGTATTGCAATTCGTAACTCTGTAATAAGTGAAAGTCAGCGACATCTGGAAATGTTCGGACTACTACGAAGCAACATCTTAACGATCACACGGTACCGGTTACAGTCGATCACATACGGCTGAACAGAAAACTTGGCTAGAACGAATCTATGTGATCGAGAAACGACACGAGACGAGACCACCGAATGTCACCGATGCTTCATCGAAATCGATAGAGATTTCTGACCATCGAGATATAATACATAATGCATCGATACAGGTTTTATCGATATTCGTAGCAATAAAAACGTAGATGGTAAGAGGCAATGGTCGTGGTAGCGAATTGATTTGTTAAGGCGTTTACGCATTCACGAATTCTCGCGTTCACGTATTCATGCTTCCTCGTATTCACGCATTCACGTGTCCATACGTTACCGTGTTTACAAATCTACGCATTTTTGACAGTTTCGTATTTACGCATTCACCATAGGACACGCCGAATGAGAGTTTACCTTGTCCCGAGTGCGTAGATACGTCTACACAGATACATAGGATACATAGATATGTAGGTTGGAGTTGGAGTACGCGTTCATGGTTGCGGTTGCGAGTTCGAGGGAAGCGAAAACGGACGCTGGTAGAATTGGAATGTCGGCGCGTGAAAGTTTGCAAGGGATCGGGCTGCAGTGAGAACACGGAAGAAAATCAATCGTCGCCAATCTCTTCGCGATAAACAGTCATCTGTTCGAATCATGTTGAATGTCAAAGCAGCGCGACAGCGATCTCGGATATCTAATACGGAAAGTATTATTGCGTTCGGCAAAGCAGCATGGAAGTAACCTGTTTGTCGGTGTTATTGCAAAACATTTTGGACGTTACGGTGACATTTCCGAAAAGGTGCTGGCACCGGACGGACCGTTCGATCGTGGATCCGTAATCGACCCGCAACGATGTGAAACATAAAAAATTGATCGCACGACAAACCTAAAGCAAGGGGCAGACGTGCTGCTGCGAAACTGTCATCATGCATCAGTTACTGCATCTTCGCAGTCGTCCTCTGCAAACGCTTATTCTTGGTCTAATCGGCTTAACCTTTTACGCATATTATCGCACCACTTACTACGACGTGCCACAATACGCTGTACCTCGAAATACCAGTAAGTATTAGAATCGTTGTTACATTGAACTTCTATTTTTCGAGTAAACGAGCTACTTTGTTTCCGTATAGGTCGTGTTGCCCCGTATCAAGAGGCATTCAAGCAACATGTCAACTCGAGTCCCGAGCAGCATGTCGCCGTAATCTCGAGAAATACGTCCTCCGAACAGTACGTTATTGCTCCTTTCAATCTACAGGCAATTGCCAATCTACAGGCAGTTGCCAATCTATCAAGCTCCGTGGCTACAACTTCGTCTACGTCGTCGACGTCTTTGATTCAATCATCGGCGAGCGTTTCCAACGAAACCAAAGAACCATCTGCTTTACGCAACGAGTATTTGGCAAGAGCCATTTACGAAGCTGGCCATACTGTACCTATACCGGAGAGATGTCCAAATTTTGGCAAGGAAATGGACTTGGTAATAATAATAATGTCTGCACCACCCCATCTAGAGGCACGAACAGCCATACGACAAACATGGGGTCATTTTGGTCAGAGAAGTGACATTAGCGTTTTGTTCATGTTGGGTGCAACGCTAGACTCCAAAATGGAAGCAATTTTAAAAAAGGAACAGAAAACTTACAACGACGTGATACGTGGAAAGTTTTTAGATTCTTATTCCAATTTAACCCTTAAAACAATTTCTACCCTAGAATGGGTAGATAGCTATTGTTCCAAGGTTAAATTTCTACTAAAGACCGACGACGATATGTTCATCAATGTACCGCGTCTACAGTCGTTCGCTATGAAACATGCGAAAGATAGAAGCGTGATATTTGGTAGATTGGCGAAAAAGTGGAAACCAATCAGGAGTAAGAAAAGCAAGTATCATGTATCTAGAACGCAATTCAAGAATGCCGTTTTCCCAGATTTTACTACTGGGCCGGCTTATTTGTTGTCAACCGATATAGTGCGTAAGTTGTACGAAGCCGCGTTGAATCAAACGTATCTGAAACTCGAAGACGTATTCGTGACTGGAATTGTCGCGGACAAGCTTGGAATTAAAAGGACGCATGCCAACGAATTCTTAAACAAAAAGATATCGTACAGTGCGTGCAACGTTCAACGAGGAATCAGTATACATATGGTCAAATATAGCGAACAGTTTGATCTTTGGAAAAAGTTACTCGACGGCAAAAGCAAATGTAAGTGATGGTCAGTGGTTACATGAACCCCTGTTTCCTCGGTGTACTCAATACCAGACGGTTGCGCGTCGCGTTGACGCTTACTCCTACTCGTTTGTCGATCTGTATTCTATGATGGTCTGGTACAAACGTGTTCCTTAGTTTTAACGATAAGTTGACAAACAACATTTGTATATTCGAACTATATGGATAAGGAATAATCGCTCTCGCTGCTCGATGCTCCTTGCTAATCGCATATCTGTCTGTTAACTTCAATCGAAACTTGTCAACTTTTTCCTTTCACTCATTATTCTCAATATTGCGATCATTACGATCAACATGTAAGCATTAACGGTAAAAGACCCATCATTTAGAACACATCTAAGCTTGTACTATTCATTGAGACATGCAATACTCGCTCGTCATTGACGAAGGATATATAACTTTGAATGCTACTTGTTATTGCAATGGCAAAGTCGATTCTCCTACTCTCTCAGTGCCATACATTGTACATTGTACACTTAAACAGAGAAACGCTGCGATCAACTCATTGTTGCTTTCGTAGTTTGCGAAATCTTTTTGAACGATTGCATAATGTCACATTACTCGTGTCTGAAATACACGATTAATATTTCGTAAAGACAACGAAATCCGTGAGAGTCGAGAGGTAGGCGATTCAAGGTATGTGTTTTTGATTTGTACTCGAATGCGCAACATCGCCTGCAATGCAGACTTTGCAGTTTAAATAACCATATCGTATGCTTTAAATACTTGTCATTCTTTCATCTATCACGGGACAAGATGTTTTGATCGCAATATGCATGCAAATGGTATAGGCGATTATTATTATGGCTCGAAAGAACAAAATATTGAAATATCCTCATATGTGATTCTTGCGGCATTCGTACGAATCAAATACTTGCCTTTTAATATTGTATGGTATATTGTACATGCAATACTAATACATTCGAATATACTGGTTCCCTCGTTTGTTCAGCGGCTGCGATTTCAAGTAGAACATGATTGATTCATTAATGGCTTACGAAAAAAACTGAACTGTCGAGTAAACCGGTCTGATCGGTTCATTACATACCACTCTCGATCATAGTGATTATGTTAATTACGTTTGCCACTTTTTTAATGTTTGCTCTCTAACATTTTTTTTTATTCGGACAAATTATTTTTTTACTATTTGCTCCCCGTTCCTTGCCCCTTGCTCCTTCCTCCTTCCTCCTCGCTCTTCGTTCCTTATTTCCAAGTTTCTCTTAGAATCGGAAATATCAACGACCGATTTATTATTTCGTTGATTAACACATGAACGCTCTCTATCGTCTCTTTAGTCATTGAAATGCAATTTCTTAAATGATCTTCTGACTCACCACATTTCTAACGTATGAGAGTTTCTGCTTGGATTAGAAGAAAATTGTAAAGATTGTATCGAATACAGAAAGATCAGCGATTTGCGATTGCGAAATTCTACCTTGTGCGATTTAGATCACATCCGCTGCAAAGCGGACTCGGAAAGGAGTCCGGTGCATGTAACTTCTACGTGTAGCGACTACGTGGTATAGCGAAAAATAATATAGAAATTATGATGCCTTCCAAATCGACAGATATATCAACAATCGTGCACATGTGACCACTATTTGTATATCATATGTCATACATTCCATACACTGTTGCTAGATTAGCTACTATTCTCGAACGATTTACATTTACATTTTATTTTTATACGGTTTTATTACTTGTGTGTATCTCTGGTTCGTTCGTATGAACGTGTCAACATCAGTATTGACACAGTTGATATACAATCAACATCAAGTGTTCGATTGTACGCTCGATCGTCTCCTCATAGATCGATTCTTTAATAAAACAGTTGTTCCTGTTTTACGTTGAGTAAAAGTGCAACATCAGAAATAAATTTCGATTCTATATTCCTGCATTATCGAAAATATCCAAACATTTTGGCTACGTGAACATTTCTTTTTAATATAATTGAAATACAACTTTGAAATTTTTCGATTTTGAGTAAAAATCTTTATACAATCCTTCAGTCCGCATCTTAACGATTTGAAATTGCGCGCAGACGCAGTCCTGCAGCAGCGTTCCTTTGTAGAGTGGTATAGACACAGACTATAGAGTCTATAGTATAGGCTATAGTCACAAAAATCGGTTAGAGACAGAGGGTCTCTAAAATCGGTGAATTCGTTGCACACTCTACGTTGAACAATTAACAATTGGAAAACTACATCGGACAAAACGATTGAAGTTGGTTAATTGATAAATCTGAGAAATAAATAACTAACGATATTACAGCAGCTATATTATTGTTATATATATGTCGACAATATTCCCATTTTTTTCTGAAAATTTTCTATTCTATATACATATAAAAATAATTATTCAATGTATTATATTTTCATGAATAGACCTTGTGCTCAAGAGCTCTATATAATATTATTTCTGTATCATATTTAATATTCAACATTTATGGCATTTCGTTTCATATAATCTGAAATACCGATACATATTGCTAGAAATCGATAATCACTAGAATTTAGTAGATTTCCTTACTAAGAATGCTTAAAACTGGATAGTTTTGTAGCCTTGATTTACTTTTTTGGTTGCCTAATTTGTAATGTTTTAACTGTATTGGGCATACGTACGTACGTATATGTGAGCGATTGTGGCGTCTCTTATGGAGAAAAAGCAAAGTTTCTTTACAATACAGCGCCAATTGGAGTAGTGTCAAAACATTCAAATTGTTAATCAAAATCAACAGTTGGTAATTTGACTAACAGGTTTCGCGTTGTGCCACTATCTCAATTAGAACATTCTATGGTCGTTGGCGGATCTGGTTGTCTCCTGTGGACGTCACTGAGATAGTAAATCTCAAATAGTTAATGTTAGATAAAATTAACTGTCTGTATGATAAGATTTTATTTTATCAATTCTTGGAGGCAAGAAATCAGATATGCTCAAACTTAATGTACGAAGAAACCAATAATTGATTGACTATATGATACAGAAATCGTTTTTGAAACTTCCGTTTAGCATTACTTGGAACTGCAAGGAATTTAATTCTCCATCTCTCGTCTGTACTACTAGATTTAGTGTATAAAATTATAAAGTGACGTAAAATTGGCTACACTTCTTCGCTATCTGGGGTCATTTTCAAAGCTTTGCGTTTTATAACTTGCGAATAGGAAAACAAGCAACTATCCTACGCTATTTTCATTATTTTTCTCATTTCAAGAATCCTTCTGATCCGACGGAGCATGATATTTTACATTTGTCTACTATTAAATAGAAAACGTAACGTATAACAATTATCAGACGTACACTGAATAGATATTAAAATGTGAAGAATTATGAAATTGTCAAAAGTGAAACAAATATAGTGAGAGAGAGAGAGAGAGAGAGCTTTTATCGCTAATGATCCTCAATTATCGGTATGGATAAGTATGTACACTAATAGGACCTAGTTCTGCATACCGCCAAGCCGCAGTTTGATCTGTTAGCGAGGCTCGGTATAGAAATTTTCTCTGCTTTGATTGACTGACGAGTCACTGCTAAAACAGGATCCATTGTGGATTGGAAGTGCAGTAAAATGGTGGGGATATGCACACTAGCTTAAGGAGTAAGAAAAGTGTGTAAGAATAGGTTTCATTACTGTATAATGTATTTTGACCACTGGCTATGTACAATATCCATGTATGCATATGTACATAGTACGAATTAGACTTTTCAAATAAGGAGAGTAACGAAAATCATACGCGTACAACTGTTTTGCCGACTTTATACAAACAATAAAATGAGTCATAATATTTTTTCGAAGTTTGATGTACGTCTAAAAAATGATACGTATTTGAAATTCTGAAAATAGTGAAACGAATCTGAAGTTGATAGATGATTCAGACGCATGCGAACTAGAATATAATATGTAAGCATGACGTCATTTGTAAAGTGTCCGTGAGCGAGAGGAGAGTAGGGGAAATTCGATGGACACGTGTGTGCAAGTATAGGTGGTGCTCTGTGGCCGTGGCAGTGTAGAGTCGACCAAGTGGTTCGAGTCTTCGAGTGTGTGTCAGTCGGTTGAGAAGTCGTGAAGGCGCCGTTGTATGCGTATGACTGCGGGTTCAGAGTTTCAGAGATAACACGAGTGAATTTGTTAAAGCAAGGGTGGTGCTGTGTGGTCGGACTAAAATTACTGCAGCCCATGTGCTCTGCTCGTTAAGATGCTAATCAAAGAGTTGTAAGTTATTTCGAATTTTATTATTGTTAGCTTGTTAGAAACGCGACTGGTCGAACGTTTAAAACCAATTCTCGGGATATGGTTACTAATCTTTAACGGTGGGTCGGATTGGAGGGGTGAAGAGGGATATATCTACCTTCATCCCTTGCAATTCGTACAAACGAAACCTTCTATTTCATTACGGACTGTTTGTCGGTTTTACTGATCAATTATTTTTTTTAGAAATGTTCGTTCGATTCACGTTACATCTGACATTCGCATATCGACATTCGATTTGTGATATTTAATTTTGTACTTGAATACGATCGAAGCTATTTCTGAGATAAATTTATGCGCATTTTCCACTTATTAATATCTCAAAAACATAAATTCAGTTTATTCATTTCTCTGTTACAGCCGTGTCACTTTGCCTCTTACAGTGGAAGAGGTATGTATTTGTTGAAAAGCAAGGTCTTATTTTAATGACCCACTTTGGAATGAGTTGCAGTAGTACACATAGAAAAATAACCATAAATTAGCTATCATATTGCTATTGTGTAATTTGGAAGATTTGCAACTCATTTAATTAACATCTATTTGAACACATGTGATTATCTTGAATATCGCATCTTGCAAATTTCAGTCCATCTCATTGGATAAACTACCATTTGATCGTGCTTATTACGATGTAATAAGGATGTTTGTTTGTGATCCGCTTGTTGTCAATTTCATACATACTAGTTATTTTATTCTGAATGTCGCAACAATTTATATTTTGCTGTTACATTCTAATGTTATTTTATTTCAATAATATCTGAAATTTTGTTGTTGACAGTATCAAGTGGCCCAGCTATATTCTGTGGCAGAGGCAAGCAAAAATAATACAGGAGGTGGAGAGGGTATAGAAGTGCTAAAAAATGAGCCATTCACAAATTATCCTTTGCTCGGCGGAAAATATTCTTCAGGTCAATATACGTACAAGATTTATCATTTAGCTAGTAAAGTGCCTGCTTTTATCCGTATTATGCTGCCAAAGAATTCATTGGAAATTCATGAGGAAGCATGGAATGCTTATCCCTATTGCAAAACTGTCATAACTGTAAGTATTATTTAATGATTACAATGTTGTCTATAGAATTACTAACGAAACAACCTTTACGACTGTTCGTAGCTTGTTCTCATAACATATATACACATATGCTATTTTCATTGCAGAATCCTGGTTATATGAAGGATAGTTTTGTAATTATGATCGAATCGTTTCACATTGATGACGATGGGCATCAACATAATGTACGTATGAAACAAATTTAAAAGAAAAAGAAAAAAAGTTAGTCATTACATCTTTTTCATTATATTTTGAATTTGTATGCAATAGGTACACGAGTTACCTCCTGATAAACTAAAAATGAGAGAGGTGGTACATATAGATATTGCTAATGATCCTATTGCAAACGCTGATTACAAAGAGGATGAAGATCCAACCAAATTCAAGTCTGTGAAAACAGGTCGGGGTCCTCTTGTTGGCAAAGATTGGAAAAATAACATTAAACCTGTGATGACGTGCTACAAGCTAGTCACTTGTGAATTTAAATGGTTCGGTTTCCAAAATCGTGTTGAGGGCTTCATTCAGAAAGCTGAAAGACGTCTCTTTACTAATTTCCATAGGCAAGTGTTTTGTTGGATAGATCGTTGGTATGGTCTAACTATGGAAGATATTAGAGCAATCGAGGAGAGTACAAAAGAAGAATTAGATAGGGTAAGCAATAACTATTTGAATTTTAATTATAACACATTTTAGTTTCAACACATATTATTCGTAATTAGTGTCAAATTGAAGGTGTGTATAAAATTTTGTTTTTTCCTTCTTTCAGCAAAGACATCTAGGAGAAGTAAGGGGTATGCGAGCTGACGATTGAAGCTTCGGTAGCTTCTATTATGAATAACTAAATCAATTTCCTTATATTTCTCGGATACTTGCGGCTACTTATGAAAATACATTCATATACGTTTTGTCGAAGACGATCCTGCAAGATCGGGACAATTTCCAGAATTTACGTGTCTAGATTCAGTGTCTATTAAATCTAACTATGAGTTTAATTTATTTACATTTTCAAGCGTTTTAGATGAATGTACCTACAGTCAAGAATTATAATATAGCCAATAATAAGGAAGAGAACCGATATAAATTGGTTCGATCTATACGATGTGTAAAATATTCGAAAAAAAAGAAAGATTATTATTCGATAAAAAAAAACAATATAGGTGGGAGAAAGAAAATATTAACTATCTAACACTATAGTGGTTCGATACTAAAACGAATAGACAAGCAATTGAAATTGCTGCTGGCTACAGACACAAAAGAAGAAAAAAAAATGAAGTACTTGACACAAGAGTTACAAGTTCGTTCATAGTTTCATAGCAAACAATTCATGGTTTATGTCCTAGACCTATGGTATTAAGATTCAAACAAAACACGATTATTGTCACATTTTACGTAATTTCTGCGCCTCTAATGAATTTTTCGCGACATAATCTAAAATTCTTTCAGCCTTATACAGTGTACAATAAACAGAAAAATTAAAGAAAGGTATTTTAGCAGTTCTGCAAGCTAAAGATAATATTATGGCGATTTATTAATGTTCAATGTTGCCGTCAGATTAGATAAAATTACAAGTGGTCAGTAGGTTATAGCGATTACGCTCCTCTTTGCGTTTTGTATTATTGATTTGAAAATTGAAGAAAAAATGTGCAGCCGAATTAGGACCAAACTGAAGAGCATTAAAGTAATCTGTAATTTTAACATTCATGTAACATTCACGTCAGTTACTCACATCGGTGGAAGATGTGAGCATAACAAATTATAGAAAATAATATACGTATGTACGTAGAAAAGAACAGAAAAGAGTTGGAAATATTTCTCTATAGCAACTGCTGAACGTCGAAAGGTACGTTATTGTACATAAAGAAAAAGGCATATAATGAAATTCAAATTGAGTTGTTACACATTTCTTTGCATTCCAATAGATCTCTGTACAACAAATTTCACCCAACGGTGTCAATATTCGACATGTTTCCTCATACAAAAACAGAGAAATAACTCGTTCAAAATGTACTTAGTTGGGAACGAACCGTAATCGTCGCTTGCACAAATTGTATGTACACTGTTACCTGTTATACTGGGATCTATATAGTTAATATAATATAATACAATATAATATAGAGTAGTGTAGTGTTTAAGACAGCGTTAGAAATGGAATTTAAGCGAAATGATTATCAATTGATTTGATTTCTAAAACTTTCAACGGATGGAGTATCAGCATTCATATTGTTTAGTTATCTTTTAGTATTTAAGTTTATCACACGATCTCATCGATATTTGGATACGTTAACGGAGAATGTGGAAGTGGGGATAATCCCGATAAATAATTTTGTTGCGAACATGTCGTACCACCTGTACGAGATATAGAAAGAATTTCATAAATTAGGATAAAACAGTTAATACAGCTTCCTCTTTACGATAAACGGAAATCCCTGTTGTAGGTAGAAATTTTTGCGTCACGGGAGGGGCGGGAGGGGGGTGGATTATTAATGTATACACGTATGTATGTATGTATGTACAATTACGATCTTTGATATAGTTGTACATCTACGTGCGTACAATATTATGTATCACTAAATCGTGATATAGAAAGTAGGAAGAGAAATTAAGAAAAGTGCGCAAGAGTCATCATATATAGAAAATTTATTGACTTCATTTTCATAAAAATAGAAATGTATAAAAATATTTTGCTCGTACATACAAAGTTTAGATAAAAACATAAGAGAAAAAAATATTAAACTGTTAGGCTGTCAGTCTATGGAGCGTCGTTTTATAGATGCGTACGCCTTTGTTTCAGTCCACGAAGCAATTTTCGCGTCAGTTACAAGAATGCCGACTAACGAGAAGAACGCGATGATTCTCTATAATTATATTCGACGCATAAGAAGCAGAAGAAAGTTCTGGTTACGTCCTTGTATTTACAAAAATGTTAATTATAAAACATGTACATGTGCCACAATATTTATAACAAAAAGATGTTCAGAAATAATCGACATGGAACTTGTTTCATATAAAAGTTTAGACAATTATGAAGAGTAATACAAAATTTTTGAGTGCAACTATTAGTCACTTTTAAAGATATGCGCATTTTAAAAAATAGGTACTTGTAGTACTAAAAGCGTTCTTTGGTCAATTTAATGCGACTGCGACCAGATTAAAGCTTTGAAACGATGCTCACATATTTCCGATGATTTGGCAAACAAATGTCGCCAACAAAAGTTGATCAATACTCATATTTTTCTACAAATACCAATACAAAAAATAAAAATACTGACATCACTTCAATTTTTTAGATGTTAATATATATTTTTGATTTCATATTTTAACTGGTGTGAAGACGAACACCATTTAAAGCTTGTGATATCGCAAAAATAGCTGCAATAGTTTCTTGCTGATTGGGGTGTGATAGACAATGTCATGACGAATGCAAGTCGCGGAGAAGGCGTGACGACGACCCTTCGTGGACGGGTATCTATTAATTTACATTAGCTGCAGCACCAAAGTGTGCAGCAAGCGATATTTTATTGCTTGCGCGTCTATGACGCGTGCACTATGGACAGACGGCCTTATATTCGAAAGTCTCAATTAAGATTGTATTCTTTGATAATGTTTCCGGCTATAACAAGTCTTTGTATTTCCGATGTACCTTCATAAATCTCGGTGATACGTGCGTCTCTATAGTGACGTTCGGCCGACATATCGGTTACGTATCCCATACCTCCTAATATTTGTATACACTGATGACTGCAGAAGGTAGATGTCTCGGATGCCGATAACTTTGCCATAGCAGCTTCCTGCCAAGAAAAGTCATTATTAAAAATTAAATTCATTTGTACAAAATTAAGGTGTTTACCGTATACATACCTTCGTATACGGCATACCATTGTCCTTGAGTACAGCTGCGCGCCACGTTAATAATCTTGAACTTTCTAGTTTTAGTGCCATATCAGCGATTTTTTGTTGAATCGCTTGTAGCTTAATTATAGATTTACCAAACGCTTGACGTTTTGCTGCGTATTCGACAGCACAGTCAAGAGATGCTTGAGCTATGCCTAAAGCTTGAGCAGCGATGCCTATTCTACCAGCATCTAAAAGCAATATAGTTGTTACGTTTCCGAATGTTGTATTCAGTTGTGTAGATGCGTATTTATTTCATACCCAATGTCATCATTGCAATTTTAAAACCCATTCCTGCTTCCCCTAACAAATTTTCAGCTGGTACTTTGCAATCTTCAAATATTAATGAACAAGTACTGCTGCCTCGAATCCCAAGCTTGTCTTCTTTTTTGCCAAGAGAAAGACCACCTGAAGACTTATCAACTACAAAAGCGCTTATTCCTTTGTTCTTTTTTTGTTTATCAATTGAAGCAAATAAAACAATTGCATCTGATTCATAACCGTTTGTTATCCATGATTTTGTGCCATTTATTGTATAGCTATTATCATCCAACTTGGCAGTGGTGGAAGCAGCACTTGCGTCGCTACCATTACCAGGTTCGCTAAGAGCAAAACATCCAAGTTGCGAAGCAGTCACAAATGGCGTAATATATTTGTCTTTCAGATTTTTATTGCCAAACTTCTCTATTGGCCCTAAATAAAGAGAATTATGAACGCTCATTATAACACCTGTACTGGCACATCCTCTAGATATTTCCTCCAATGCAATGGCATAAGACAAATAATCTAAACCAGTTCCACCTAAACTTTCAGGGATTGCTATACTCATTAAACCCAATTCTCCCATTTTCTTAATCTGTTCTTTTGGAAAAATATGCTTTTTGTCGATTTCTGCCGCTATCGGTTTCAACTCCCCTTCCACAAAATCCCTGTAATGAAATTGATTAGGCTGACTAATTATCGAGCACATCATCATATTATAACAGGTGTAATCCGATAAATTTATTTGTAAAAAGTATATTGCAAATAGAATATACCATGAGATAAATACTTGCATGTTTTATGCAGCATTTGTTGTGTTTCCGATAGCATTGATAGAGAAGCAATATTTCGAGTAACAGTGTGCAGCATTGCAGACATATTTTTATTGGCTTGTAAAAAGAAGCAATAAAATAATATTATTTTTGTTTAATAATATATTTCGTATCGTATGCAGTAGCGAAACTTACCAAGCAAATTCATTTTATACATTTTTATTAGTTTATTTTTCCAATAACGAAAATAAGCTGTTTATAGACTTTAACACTCCAATACTTTGTTAACTCGACTTTTACTCAGATCAGAATAACATCATTATTGGGGCTGCATGTAAACTGTAGTGCGAATATACGTATATTAAAAGTTATGTAGTATATGTATACTAGATGTGTGGGTAAGTTCAAGGTACAAGCTATGTTGAGTGATATTTGCAACGAAAGCGACAATGAATATACAGTTGCTATAGTATATATACCACATAATTTATTCGGATTCTACGCAAGCTATACAAATCAACAACACAGAAGATTTGCCCCGTGACGACACGACAAATAAAATTCAAGACTGACAATGAATACGACGCAAATGTTAATTGTTTTTTCTAAAGTCAAAGTCACGCACACTGTGACATTCGTATAAGAACAGTGTTGAAGCAGTGTATAATTGCGATTTCGATATTAAAATTAGCAAGCATCAAAATGGACAATTATTTGTTTATCTCCTTTCTCTGCATTTTTGTGAACATAACTAACTTAGTGAATATATATTAATCGATTCGTTGATGGAGACAGGTTGTATTGATGTATTCAAGTCAAACATGATCATTCAGCCTTCGATTAGCTTGAATGGCTTGCACCCTGTCGTTGCCTTGTTTGAATCAAGATTATAAACCAATTCAAGCCAAATTTGGAACAAGACGGAACGAAGTTGAACATACGAAAAACTATCCAGAAATGTTAAGTACTATCTAAAAGAATAAGAATACTGTTTTTGAAGCCATTCAAATGTTCAACCTATTCGAAGGCTTGAATGGGTTGTTAGTTGAATACATATCCAACACTAGAGACATGTAACGTGATCCTTTTGTCAAAAAAATTTCGAAACGATTGTATGTACCCACCCATTTTAAATTCTTAAACTGACAATTAATACAATATATATGTATATATGTACATATATCTATGTCTGTGCATATATGTATGATTTGTGCAGCGTTCACGTTAGAAAGCAGCATGTGCGCGTGCGTATATACGGACTGCCGTACGTGTGGTCACTGGCCAAGCCATATCAAGATTTTTCTCACTCCAGCCTTCCCCTTCTACAACGTTGTTCCCCCGCTTTTCGGCGGCAAGCACTCCCCACTTATTCTCTTCTATATCATTCTGCAATGCTATGCCATCTTCCCTCAAAATAAAATATGTATATGATATATTAAAATTCATTTTTTATTCATAATAAGTAATGTTTCATGCGATTTATTTAATTGAATTGTTATGATCCATGACAATAACCTCAAACTTGCAGTCATGTCATGTTTTCTGTCAAGTCTGTTATACTGTCGCTATCAGTCGTCCACAGTCGGCAGTGGTTAGCAGCAGTTGACAGTCGACTATCATTTACTGTCATTCATCCGCCAGTGCACGCCACGGTGTTCATGTGGCGAAGTCCCCAATTAATTCGCGTTGCGTTTGCGTCTGCGTCGTGACTAGCAGAAAGGGCGGGGGACTGTATTCTCCTCATTTCCCCTTCTGACGTTCGATAATATCTGTAATCTGTATCTGACTTGTGGTACATACATAGTTGTTTCTTTAGCTTCGCAGAATCGAGCGTAGAAATTTAATCCACAGAGAAACAACTTTCGAATATACTTTGGGAGAAAAATGTCGAACAGCAAGTGTGTAAAACAACTGCGTAAAAGTTACGCGAAAGAACAGCAAGAAATGACGCATTCGGAGAAGCTGCGGCTAATAGACGACGAATTGAATTCTTTCTACAAGTAATTCGATTGTATATTTACCTGTCGATATCTTTATCTATTTTCTTATGTTTTTAGCTTATTTTTCTTTAATATATCTTTCTGTATCATTATAATAATTTACAGGTTCACTCTGAAAAATGGCTCTGTCTTTAATCGATGTTTCCTTACCATAATTTTATTAGAAGTTTGGTATTATAGCAAGGTATTCTATCTTATGTTTTGTGTGTTGCTTTTTAATAGTCTTTTAAGTTAACTATCGATTTATGGTAGAGATTAATTTGTAATATATCAAGTTAATTTATAAACATTAAACACGATATAAGAAAAACTCATAGGTATTATAAGACAATCTTGTTCAATGATGCCTAGATATTGTCAGCAAGCTGGTTTTACAGAGGAGGAAATGGATATTATTTGTCAACCCTTGGTGGCAGCGATGCGACGTTCTTGGTTACAATTGGTGTTTCGTGGCATGCTTGTCCTAATAGTTCTTGGTACCTTGGCATGTTTAGCGGCACAAATGGATTTCGTTGGAACCCATTTTACGGCTATCAGCCGTTTGTTGCTCATCAAAATTCTGCCAATTTGGAATTGGCAACCTTTATATTACGAGAACTGCATGATCAACAATCCCTTTTACAACGATCACACTATCACGGAGGATGACTGTGTGGTAAGATAGTCAATTTTAGTATTGATGGTAATCAATCACAGAATGTGTATCAAGAACAGATAAACGAACGAGTAATGAAATTTTTAGACCTGCGAAGCACTGGAAACTATTGATCGATTGTCGGACGTGAGATATCGTAATCTCGTGGACAATTACTTGAGCCGTGATGCTCCTGCAATTATCACAGATGCGATGGACTCCTGGACAGTTATGAACACGGATTACTTTTGGTTTGACAATATCACTCATGTAGGTAGATGGTAGATTTAGCGCATTAAATAAATTCAGTGGATTGAACTAAAGACGGTTCTATTCCTTGAACAGCTCTACTTGGAGAATGAACGATTGATGGAGACAGTTCCTTGCGCGTTGACTTCAAATTTGAGAACTGGATCATCCGATTTAGCAGCGTTCTTACGTCGAGTCCATTCTCCGGAAGTGGCGAAGTGGTTTGTCCATTGGCAGAACTGCGATATCAATGCGGTAAAGGTGTTAAGAAAATATTACCAGCGCCCATATTTCCTTTCGAGTACAGTCTCGCCAGCACATTTCAATTGGGTCCTCATGTCTTCGGATTACAATAGTCCGAGTTACAAGAAGGTCGAGTTAGACTCTGGACTGATCGCCCTTGCACAGTTACGAGGAGCAACACAGCTTCGCTTAACACCTATAAATCCTTGTAACAGTTCGTGTCCTGAATTGATAGCGGATTTGCATCAAGGTGAAATGCGTAAGTTTCTTTTATTTTAAAGCGAATGTGAACTTCTTAGTGTGTAATATATTCCTCGACGATGAATAAGAACTAATTATATCTGTTCAGAGGAGTAGAAATTTCAGAAGCGATGCTTTAATTTTTATTGGTTTTCAGTCGTTTTCACCAACTTGATGTGGACATTGGAATACGCACCGATGAGAGGATTGGATAATATTGCTATTTTGACCGAAACCGTGTGGGAGGAAGATACATAGATCTGCTTTTTCGTTACTGTACGTCTTATTAGTCTTCGATACTTGAACATTATGCGTGTGTTGCTCGAACGTACACATATATCCTTATTCTATCGCAACGCCATAGTAGACGTCTAATAAAGTACTACGATCAAATTTCATCGAACGATGCTGTTGAAAAAGTCCAATTACTTTTCCCGGACCTTATGTTTGACAACAAAAATCGCTTTTTATTCAAATAATTGGATGATTATTAATGAAAATGGGGAAGCCAATAGGGAAAAGAAAAATGTAAGCAAAGAAGAGAAGAACGATTTGACAGTTGATGCACTGGAAACGGTAGTAATTGTAGTAGTAGTAGTAGTAGTTAATGGTAATAGTAGTTGTAGTAATAGTAGTAGTATAGTAGTAGTAATAGTAGTAGTAATAGTAGTAGTAATAGTAGTAGTAATAGTAGTAGTAGTAGTAATAGTAGTAGTAATAATAATAGTAGTGTAGTAATAGTTGGTAGCAGTAGCATTAGCTTTAATTAAAATTATAACAATCGTGTGATAAAAAGGACTCGACGAGGATACCAAAAAGTAACAACAAACAAGATTCGTTTTTTATTAATTAATTGTTTATAATAACATTGTGTTTTTCTTGATTTTTTCTCTCGTAGCAGTTTCTTCCCGTTATGTCAGTTGGGCTAACAAGGAATAGATTGTTGTTATGCATCGATTCATAGAAAAACAAAGCGCAAGATTACTCAATGACGAGACAAACGTAGCTGGCGACTTGGCATGCTTAATCGATGCGAGAATTCGATATATTAAAAGTCGTACGTGTGTATATAATCGTTTTTCATTTTGTTTGCGCTACGTTCTGTTCATACAATCTTAGGGTATCGATACAAGAGAAAGAATGACAATAAGTGGCGCCTAACTAACAACAGTATTCAAACATGTTCTTCAGATCCTCTACACGCTCTTGACACACGATTGCTCCTTTGTTTTTCGTTTCTATCGCTTTCGTTTTCTTGTTTTTTCCGTTTTCTCTTTCTCTGTTTTTCGGTACCCTTTGCATATGCATTGGCACCCATAGACGTACCTGTCATGGTCCGTTTTCTCGTCGCTCTCGTCGTTCTCAGCCTCCGCACTTGTCCATCGTCGATTCGTATCGCATCGACAAAGTCAAGGTTTATCTGATGCGGCACATCAACGCTTGTCGCTATTTAACAATCAAGATATCGACGACGACTGTCGTTTGGTTAATCGTCGTCCACCTTCTTCGGAGAACGAAAAACATAATTTTACCGAAGAAAGCTCGCCTTCTCGTTTTCTCGCTCGGCGGTTTTTTTTGTTGCGACGATCGGTACTCACAATCGATAGCATTCTTTTCTTATCTTATGCACCAACGTTCGATCGAGGTTATTGGTTGAAACTCGATAGCTCGAACGGATTTTTTAACGGACCGATACTTGACGCGTTTCTAAGTATACCTTGCATCGATTGTTACGATATCAAAAAGATTTTTACAGGAATCCGTTCAACGACTAACTTTATAACAATGAGAATGTACAAGTGAAGTATCGGATCGAGATACTGAATTCCACGTGTTTTCCTTTCCGTGTTATCATCTGTCGGATTTCTTTTAATTCTTGACAAGCCCTGCTTTGTTAGATTCGCGTTTCGCGTGTTAGACTTTGCTTTGTGTTCGACGTCCGGAAAAATTGTTGGGATTTCCTCTTTTCATTCGTTGCGACAACGAACGACAACTTATCGTTTCTATTCTAAACGGAACGCGTCGCGCTTGAATGGCTTTTGAAACCGCCTGGAAACCACTTTGATACCGCTTCGAAACCGCTTTGGAATCGCTGTAAAACCACGTTACCCTTTCCCTAAGGTTTCAAGATCGAGCAAACTCATTCGAAAAGAGGATACGGACGATGCTTGCCGATGAGTACCTCGCCCGAAAATCGATATATCTCCTTCGTGTTGCTCGTTCTTCGTTGGTTCAAATTGCTCGCGTTCTTTATTCACTCTTTAATTCTTTTATCCGAGTCACGTTTTCGCTGGTAGATATATATTCGAAAAATTGTAATTCGATACGACGCGTCGCGACGGTTTCACCCTGTGAAAGGTCGAACCTTTCGCGACTCGTGAATCATGAATCGTGAATTATGAATCGTGATTTAATGAATCGTGGAATCGAGAAATCGCTTCACCTTCCCTGACGCGATTGTAGGTTGCTTTCGTCGATCGACCCGTAGCGCCTCGTCACGGCCGAGATTTAAAGATCGAGACAAGGTAAGAGAATGCTAACATCGTCGAAAATATGAGGAACCGAAGCTAACGAATGGTTATATTAAGAAATATAGCTGACGCGTATCCGCTGGCGTTCGAACAAAAAATTTACTCTACCAAGCTACAAATCGTCTCTGGCTTTCAAGTAGTTTCTTTTTTTTTTTTAGCGTTTAACAAACAATTTCTGTGTGTCGAAACGATCTTCTAACGAGTCTCTGTAATTATCTATACGTATCGATTAGTAGTACACGTCGGCGGTCAGTCTTTTTGTCTTTTCTCATCCTTTCCCCCGCTTTCCTCCCTTCTCCATTTTCATGACTATCTTACAAGAGATCTTTCGCAAGAGTAAATCGTCGATCATTCGAAAGAAAACGAAAAGAATTACATGTCAGATATGTTTGCAACAGGGGGGGGGGGGGGGGGCGGA